GAGAGAGAGAGAGAGAGAGAGAGAGAGATTTCCATCGACAGGATGAGCAACACACCAGCAAACAGGTAAGTCTCCAACCCTGCGGCTCGCCGCACGCGACTTCCATTGATAGGATGAGCAAAATCGAATGAATCTTCCGCAAGTCTCCAACCCCGCGGCTGGCCCCACGCGACAGGAAAGGCGTGGACCGGACCCGATGGCCGCCCGCATCCACTCTTCCGCATGTCGGCCTCGGCACCAAGCTTCACTCCGCGCACGTCTTCCACTCCAGCGTTCCGTTGGCCCCTCCCGTTTCGCGCTGCCCTTGGCCCGCTTCGGTTTCCGCTGCGCCCGTCGGACTGGGCCTCCGCCCCCTGGACCTCACATCCGCCCTGCGCCCACCCTCGTCGTTTTTCGCCCGCCCGTGTGCTGCGCGCGTCGGCTTGGGCCTCCGCCCTCTCGCCCGGTTTGCTTTTCCCTGCCCGCGAGTTTCCCTGCCCGCCTCGGCACGGGCCGCCCCTGCACCGGTTCCCCTACCCGGTTCCACCCCTCCGCAGGTTTCCTTTGGGCCCACGACCGAGCATGTCGGCAGGACCTTTACAACTTTTAGTGGTATAGAGAAAATATTTATTATTGTGTCCTGTGCTTCAGGACTCTTGACTCTTGAGTGCATCCTTTTTTTCAACACTTACTATGTGTGTAGTACTGTGTAGCATTGTGTACTACCGTCTTCACCCGAACAGAACGCCCGGTAATTTTTTGCCGCATCTGGACAGCAAGTTGTATTAAATACAGCTGTATTGACCGGGCGTTCTATTCGGGTGAAGACGGTAGCGTTTCAGCGCCCAGGCGATATGCAAATTGCGATTGAAATGGCGTTAGTCATAAAGTTAGTGTTGATTTTTTTAATCTTTTTTTTTTTTTTTCACAGTTTTTACTTGTCGCTTTGTGTGTCTACTGTTCACTTTTTTGTATTGACAGGAAGCAAACTTTTCCCATGGGCGGTTTATCTGTATCGGTGTGGTTGTGTGTGTATGTGTCTGGCACATGTGTGTCACATGAGTTAAAAGGGGTGGATGATTTTGGCCCGTCGCAAAACGAGGTCATCAGGGTGGGATCGTCATGTTGGATTTGTCTTTGTTATGTTCATCGCCATCTGTGCAATGCGGATTTTCTGCGGTCGGATTGAATAGGAGATCGAGAGGGAGAAAGCAGTGACTGTGGAGAACGAGAAACGTGTACAGGCAGAAGGCCGCGCGTCGGCGGAGAAAGCCGTGGCAAATGCCCAGCAGGCCATGGCCAAGGAGCAGCAACAACAGCAACAGCAACTACAACAGCAACAGCAGAGTATGTCGGGCAAGGGTCATATATTAAAATTTAAAAATAAATAATAAGCACAATGCTGCACACCCCCTATAGAGTTTGGTCTGGATAATTACACACCTGCACACTCGCTCGCACAGAGAGAGAGAGAGAGAGAGAGAGAGAGAGAGAGAGAGAGAGAGAGAGAGAGAGAGAGAGAGAGAGAGAGAGAGAGAGAGAGAGAGAG